GAAGGAGGAAGGAACGACGGAAGGAGGAAGGAAGGAGGGAAGGAAGGCAGAGGGAAGGAGGGAGGGAAGGACAGAAGGACGGAAGGAGGGAAGGAAGGAAGGAGGAAGGAAGGATGGAAGGAGGAAGAAGGGAGGGAAGGAAGGACGGAAGGAGGAAGGAAGGAGGAAAGAAAGGAAGGAGAGATGAAAGGAAGGAAGGAAGGGAAGGAAGGAAGGAGGAGGGAGGGAAAGAAGGACAGAAGGAGGAAGGAAGGAGGGAAGGAAGGAAGGAAGGAGGGAAGGAACAAAGGAGGGAAGGAGGAGGGAGGGAAGAAAGGAAGGAAGGAGAGAGGAAAAGGAGGAAGGAGGGAAGGGAAGGAAGGACAGGAGGAAGGAAGAAGGCTTCATGATAGGCCCATTTGTGCTTCCTTTTCAATTTGTTTTTAGTGATGGTGGATTTCGTGGAGTTGTAAAATAATTTAAAGGCATCTTCCTCCCCACCAATTTATTCCCCTTTTTCTGTAACTTGGTCTGTGCGTGAAAAGGGTGGAGGAATGGCTGAACTAAGAAGACTTGGTTGTTATTATTTTCCTAAACTTTCTCTCCCATCTGTCTTTATCAAGCATCCCAGAATTGTTTCTGAGAGGTGTCCTTGGGCGTTTGCAAAGAGCAGCCTCAAGAAATAGGGCTAAGGGGACAGTAACTGGCCCCAAATCACCCATTTTTTTTTTGTCCTTTACTTTTGTCCTTTACTACCTGGCACAGGCTATTTTAGAAGTGGCTAGTAGTCCTCAATTTACAAGAGTTCATTTAGGGACCATTTAGCGTTACAACAGCACCGAAAAAAGTGACTTACGACCATTTTTCACGCTTTTGTAGCTTCCCCGTGCTCATGTGAATCAAATCCAGATACTTGGCAACTGGTTCATACTTATGACCATGACAGTGTCCCGAGGTCATGTCATCCCCTTTTGTGACCTTTTAACAAGCAAAATCACTTAATGACTGTTGTTACTAACTTATCATCTGCAGTGATTCCCTTAACGATGGCAAGAAAGGGGGTGAAATGGGGCAAAACTCAAGTTAACAAATGTCTCACTTAACAACAGGAATTTGGGGCTCCATTGTGGTCCCAAGTCGAGGACCACCTGTTCATTTTAAGTATGCAAAAGTAAAAAAGTTGAGGTTGTAATGTTATTTATGAGATTCTACTGTGCTAAAAAGAGTCAATGCTTTTCTTTCTGTCCCCCTCTCCCTTAACCCTACATGTCTTTCCTCTTTTCCCTCCCTGATTTTTGCATTCTTTTCATTTTCATTTGTATGTTATTCTTCAACAAGTGCCATAAAAATATAAACCAGTTATTTAAAAAAAAAAAAAACAAGAACAGCTGGCACATGGAGTCCATTTGCTTTGCTCAAAACTATTTTGGGGAGTTGAATAAAAGCAAAGCCAGAAAAAACAAGAGTGGAAACTTTGAACTAAGTCACTCTTCCTCCATCTGTACACCATTTCGAACGTACACATATGTACACATATTTTAACACTTGGAGGACACAAAGAGGGGCAACGTGTGTGTGTGTGTGTGTGTGTGTGTGTTATTTTGCTCCTCCCAACGGTTTGCATTCTTTATCATCTTTGCAGGAGACAATCTTTACGCCTGTCCCATTATACAAAAACGTGGGTTTCCCTGGTCCACCCCCATCTTCTAAGTGTTTCTGTGCTTATCTTGAAGAGGAGAGATTTAGGAATTTGCAGCTTGGCCAGCTCAATGTAGCTGATATTGGATCTTTCTTCTCTTGGCAACAGAGAGACTCATTGTTCTAGGGGCCCCGTGCAAATGGTTGCTGCTTTAATTGCAAAAACATTTGCTAATTCCATTCATGAATGAGTTGGGACTTGCTTGGGGTTTGGGCTATTAATAAAAGGCCAGATAGGGCAGCCTGGGTGGGTTTTGCTCTAAGGGTGTGTTCAGCTAAAGTAAAATATAACAAGTAGATGAGAGTCATGTTGTGGTTTGGAATTTGTCAATTCGTACTGGGTCACCATCAGAAAAACTGATCACAGTCTCACACAGCTTTCCTACTAACGTGTTGATTTGGGGAAAATGGGAGATGAATTTTATTTATTTACTTAACCTTGTTGGGCTGAGCTCCGAGCAATTTGTAATGTGGTTACAAACGTTTCATTACCATTCGAGGAGACGTCATCCGTGCGCTTCGAATGGTGCTCGTCTGTCCGAGCGCCGGTGGTCTTTCAATACCGTTTGATGGGATGCAAATTAGCGTGGATGTTATATAATTTGCATCCCATCAAACGGTATTGGAAGACCACCGCCACGCTCGGAGAGACGAGCACCGTTCGAAGCGCACGGACGACGTCTCCTCGAATGGTGACGAAACGTTTGCAACCAAATTGCCAAGTTCGGAGCTCACTCAGCCCAACCTCAGATACTTATATTCAAATACATTTCAACCACTTCCATATTTCTTCCGTTCTGTGGCCATCTGAATATACAGGGACTCTGAATGGCTCTCTGTAAAAAAAAAAAAAGAAATGTAAAAACATGACATCAGAAAGTGGTCCTCTAATATCCATTGATGAAATATTGAAATATTGATTCCAGTTTTTGCTTCTGCTTACTAATCGTGATTTGTAAGGCTATCCTAAGATAGACCCAAAGCATCGCCTGTCAGAAAGCAAAAGTATGATGGCAAAAATATTCTTCTTCTTCTTCTTCTTCTTCTTCTTCTTCTTCTTCTTCTTCTT